GCCAAACATTTGACGGGCTGCAAAAATCCTTCCCCCAAAAAAGAACATCGAAGAGGATTTGGGCTCATGAAAGCTAAAAACAGGAAGGTTCAGGAACGCTTTAAAAATTAGTACTTTATACAGTGAGCTAAATTCAATCGCAGGACGCGAAATGACGCTGTATCGTCATATAACAAGTACTGCTACTTAATTAACTGGAAAGTCTTTGTGTCGAATCCAAACAAACCAGTCTTGAAAGGCGGCCAAAATAGCGCCAGCGATAAAATGATGCTGAACCGAATAGCAACACTGCTTTCTTGACTTTGAGTACAGACTGGTTGATGAGGCAGTTTGCTGATGCTACTTCAAAAAAAAAAAAAAAACTTCTATTGAATTTAACTCACTAAAAGTTTTGTCTAAACACATAAAGGCAGTACAGAAGAGAACTTACCAAAAATAATTCAGAGAAGCAGAAAGGATCAAGTGGGAGATCTCCGAACGAGGGAGCAAAATCTGGCAAAGGGATGCCGAATCCAAACAAACCAGTCTTGAAAGGGGAAAAAGGCGAGTCAAAAAATGGGCCAAAGAAAAAAGTTGGTGCAGAAAAACGAAGTGATCGAAGTGAAACAAACGAAGGCTCACGAAGGAAACACGAATCAGCTGCACGGCATAAACGGAAGAAGGAGCACAGAGAACTCAACACAAAGACAGGCCTTGAGCCCGCAGTGAGAGATGAATTAGACAAGAAAAATCGCCAGAATATCCGGACAAAAAACGAGGACAGAAGGCAAAACGCCATCAAGGCCGGGGACGATCAACAAAAAGACTCGCCGAAAGAAAACACAAAGATGAAGCTTTCAAGCAAAGGAGTCGCAGACAAACCCGAGAAATCAAAGTCGCTCCCAAAAAAGGAAATTAAAACCGTAAGATTCGATGAAGTGCCAGATTCCGGAAGAGAGAAAGAAGAAAGGCGTGAAAAAAGAAAAGGCAAAGGCTCGGAACGTTCAAAGCCAAAGGCGAGCTTACAGAAAAAGAAACGAAAAAAGGATAAAAGCAAGAAAAGGAAGCCAACAGATAAAAAAAAAGTTGTGGCTCTATCTCCAACTTCCACAGCAGTATCGGACAGTGACTTCCCCGGGGCTTCATCGAATGTGTCAACAACCATTACAGGAGCATCAAGCTCAGCAACTCAGACAGCAAAACCGGAACCAAACGTAACGCTAAGCAACAAGGACGAAGGCACACCGACCAGCAAAACAATAAGTCCGAACGGAACAGCTTTCTTAGAGAAAAAGGAAAGAAATGCGAAGTCGAAGGCAGCAGATGAGGATCAACGCCCTGCTCGGGATCAGCTTCAACCGAGACGCACCGGCGGCAGAAGGATTATGCGAATCACCGCACACGTGCAGAAACACGGCCGGGTACTCGACATGGCGTCGTCACCGAACGGGTCTTTTTTGAAGGACGACTCCACTAGCAGCAGTGACTGGGATGCAACAACGAATGGCGATATCCTGGCATCAACAACCATTCGCCCAGCTGAAAAAGACAGCGACATCACGGCACCCAACCAGACGATTACCCTCGGGGGCCCTGTACAGGACGACCACGGAATTTCAGTTGAAATGTCCGCAGATGTGGAACCTTGCAGCGAAACAGAACTGAAGAAGCAGGAGGGGTCATCCTCGCCAACAAAGCGCACCGACACGAATGGAACTGCGAACGGGAACAGCTTCCCGACTTCAGCGGTGCCCAAAACGAGCAACCAACCAGATTCAAATAATCGGCAAGCGATATTGAATCCTGAGAGCGACAACGGCAATAACATGGACAGTTCCGGAGAAGCCGGAAAAGCTTTGGATGAGGCCCAAGTAGTGCTTGCAGAGACAGATGAAGTTCAGCCACCGTTCCCCGAACAGCCCAAGGGCCAGTCCCAGAGCCTGCGAACAGACAATGCGAGCCCCGGCAACAAACAGTCAGTGACTGCGAGGTATGTGCTTTTTTGAGTCCTCATGCTCTCCAACTCTGAGAAAGCAGATGACAACTCTCTCTTTCCCTTTAAAAAATAACTGGCCAACGCACGGGCTGCCCGTCCGAAGATGCGTTTTTTGCATGGTTCCCCGCAGTTTCTGTTGCTACCGGCACCCGGTTTTTTCGGCAAATGCTTCTAGCTAAACAAATTAAGACTGGCCACCAGAACTGTCAGAAAAC